AAAATTCCAAAGAACTTTCCCACGCTGTGTAAAATGACACAGAGCACTCTGATTGATTGGATGGCTTAAACCCACCAGAGTGCTCTGAACATAATTGAAGGGCGGGGCAAGGCTTTATAATCCTTCCCCCGCCCTGCAGAACTCAGTCTGCGCGGAGCACTCCATGGTTGAAGATGGATTTTTTTTTGCACTTGTTTTTTATTTTTTATAATTGCGCCAGTTATTATGGTTTTTTATTTGGCCTTTTTTGGGGCTGAAAAAAGATTTTAGAAGAAAGAAAACATCGAATGGTAATTTTTTTAAAATTTTTTTTTACAGGTACTTAGTTAAAGGTCCCCCTCATTATTTTTAGGGTGTGGGGGTAGGTAGGGAAATAATTATTTTTTGGGGGGAGGAGATGACTAGGGGTTTGGGGACCCCTAGTCACCTGCGGGGGGGAACATTTTTATTAGGGCCCCCACCCGCCGCTCAAGGGTGGGGCCCGGGGGGGGGACATTAGGTCTCCCCCCTTATTTGTATTTAGGGCCCCCACTCACCGCTCAGGGGTGGGGGCCAGGGGAGAGGACTTTAGGTCCCCCCTTATTCCAATTTAGGGCCCCCGCCCACTGCACAGGGGTGGGGGCCAAGGAGGAAGTCATTAGGTCCCCCCCCCTTATTAGTATTTAGTGCCCCCACCCACCGTTCAGGGGTGTGGGCCAGGGGGGAGGACATTAGGTTCCCCCCTTATTTTACTGTAGGGCCCCCACTCACCGCTCAGGGGTGGGGGCCAGGGTGGAGGACATTAGGTCCCCTCCTTATTATAATTTAGGGCCACCGCTCTGGGGTGGGGGCCAGGGGGGAGGACATTAGGTTCCCCCCCCCCATTATTTTACATTAGGGCCCCCCCCCCATTATTTTACATTAGGGCCACAGGCTGCTCGCTGTTTGATTTACATGCCCCTGCTCGCGGTATAGCAAGTAGGGGCATTATTTACTAATATTAAGTAATTTTTACTTAGTATTAGTAAATTTGTCTGAAAGACCAATTTAGGTCTTTCAGCCTTTTAGTAGATAGCATGGGAATTAGTGGGTTATCTACTTATTCATTCCTGTCATTACATTGACAGGCTGAGTAACTTACATTTTATATGAATGTATGTTACTTGATTGTTGTAAGTGTTGCAAATGCTTACAGCTGAATCCTGGCTATGTTTGTATACTTTTTATTTAAAATTGTATACAATGTAACATTCTTCTTTCACTGGGTAAGTATATTAGTACTTGGGCAATACTGTGCTTCGGAAATTCGATAACTTCGGGACCTCGGCACTTCGGCAATTCGGACATTCGGAAGTACCCGAATGTCCGAATTGACCGAAATTCATCCGAATTCAGATTCGGACGGAAATGAATTGCACATGTCTAGTAATCTACTCACTTCAGGCAGGATCTGGCTCTGTACTCCAGAGGAACAACAAAACAACTGGACAGACCCTAGGGTGGTCTGTGCGTAACCCCTTAAGGACGGGACTGTTTTTGCCATGTTGTACATTTGCGACCAGGCATCTTTTTACACTTTTGTGGTGTTTGTGTTTAGCTGTAATTTTCCGCTCTCTCATTTACTGTTCCTATACAAATTATATATTGTTTTTTTCAGAACAAAGAAGGCTTTCTTTACATACCATTATTTATATAATCTCATGTGATTTAATTTAAAAAAAATTAAAAATATGATGAAAAATTGAAAACATACATGTTTTTTTACTTGAAAAATCTTTTACTCATCTACAAAAGTGAATGAAAAAAACTGCTAAATTGATTTCAAAATTTTGTCCTGAGTTTTAAAATACCCAGTGTTTACATGCTTTTTTTTTGCAAGTTATAGGGCTATAGGTACAAGTAGGATATTGCGGTTTCAAAACATAAATGTTTTTCAAATTTATCAGTAGTGACATTGTGACACTATTATCTATCATAAATCTCTGAATAATACCCCACATGTACATATTTTTTTTTAAAGTAAACAAAGCCAGGGTATTCAATATGGGGTATGTCCAGTCTTTTTTAGTAGCCACCTAGTCGCAAACACTGGCCAAAGTTAGGGTTCATATTTGTTTGTGTGTGAAAAAAGTAAAAAACTAAATTGAACGCTAATTTTGGCCAGTGTTTGTGGCTACTAAAAATGACTGGACATAACCCATTTGCAATACCTTGGGTTGTCTTCTTTTACAAATGGTATGCCATCATGGGGGTAATTCTCATTCCTGGGCTACCATACACTCTCAAAGGCAACCTAACCAACCAGGCCATTTTCAATGTAAACATATTTGACCCTGTAACTTTTAAAAATGGTATAAAATCTGTACATGGGGGGTACTGTTATACTCAGAAGACTTTGCTGAACACAAATAACACAACAATTATATCATCAGTAAAGGTGCTGTTTGTGTGTGAAAAATGCGCAAAAAGTCACTTTCACTGACAATATCATCACTGAGATATGTTTTACTGTTTTGAATCACTAATCTTTGTGTTCAGCGAAGTCTCCCGAGTAAAACTGTACCCCCCATGTACAGGTTTTAGGGTGTCATAGAAAGTTACAGGGTAAATTACAGTGCTAGCAAATTCAATTCTCTGGACTTTTGGCCTGGCTTGGCAGGCGGGTTCCTCAAATCGCAATTAATAAAATTTACTTAATTATTTAAAAATATTACATATATGCACATAGAATTTCAATATATATGCATATTTATATATTTGAAGTCTACGTATGTATATTTATATAATTATTTATGTAATTTTGTATATGGACATATGTATTTTTCGTATTATTTTTATTTATATATACATAGATATATATGCAATTTCATTCTAAGTGTATTTTGATATAAATAAATATATATATATATTTTAATATCAAAATACCGTTAGAATAAAATATCATATAGATATATAATTTTTTTTAACATTTTCATTATTATTTTTAATTTTTTTATTTCATTTATTTTAGTTATTATTTGTATATTTTATAATATACATACTGTGGCAAAAGGGACCTCGCCACTGGTTTTTGGAGGGGCCTATTTGCCAGCCTCCTGCCATGTGACTATGGCCCCTGGGATGTATTTCCCTTTAAGAAACTGATTTGGGCATACTGTATTTTATTATGCTGCTGGCCCTTTAAGAACCATCTGGGGACATACTGTGGAGTTACTGGTTGGCCACCATTTCATGTATCAGAGGTACATGGTGAGAACAATGGATGAAGCACATGGTGAGAACAATGGATGGTGGCCATTTTAACTCACAGACACTGTTTGGACTTTTCTACACGGTGCCATCTCGCCGGTATTTGGTGCACAAAGACATCGTGCAGTAGTTTTAAACTATACAACAGGGGACACATTATACAGTAATTATTTTTCATATAGCCTGTATATGTTCTGCGGAATCTGCATTAAACTGTATCTTCCAAACTACTGAACGGATCTGGGTGAATTTTGGATATGTGGTTCACCCAGATCCCCCGGTTCCGAGGATATACTTTTATGGGGTTATTGCATGTTTTGGGGTCCCTGTGATATGTTTTATAATACTGTATTTTCCTGCCTGTGATAATTAAGTTAGTCTATTGTGTTGAGTTAATTGCATCACAGGCAGAGGGGAGGATTTCTGATGTAATGAATGGGAGTGTTAGCTGTGTTGCTTGGTTGTTCTTCAAAACCCTGTGGGCAGTACTATGTTTGTAGAATGTGAATAAAATAGGCTGGATGTGCCAGTACAGTCAGTTCTACTTCACCCTCAATCTAGAGTCCTGTCTCTTATTGGGGGAATTGCTATATCACTACATACTGCATACTCCCTTAGCTAATCACTCCTAAGCTCTTTTAAGAGCTTGTTCCTGCTTCACTCTCTTGGAGGAGAGGTTCACCCACTGAAACCTGGAGCCTTGTCGTAGGTCCAGGGTGGGTAGGAGACGGCGAGACCCCAACCAAGCTGCGGCGGTTAGTGGGGTCTGCGGTGGTTGTGGTGTCTGCAGAGCGCTTGGAGCCCTCTGTAAGCGCTAGGAGCACCCTTCAATGGAGGTACCCAGTCGGGGTGCCAGGTGATCCGTTGCACCGGCCGCCAGCTTATACTGCACTATCTCCTCGCCCATCAGCCCCTGCAGCCATTCCATGTGGGTTGCGACATGCAGGGGAAGGCACGCATGCACTGTCTGCTTTTATGCCTATTTCTCCTCCTGTGTGCATGTTGGGTAATGTGTTGTGTGTTCCCCATGCTGCTCCAGGATCAGCATGGGGAACACACCCTGGGGAATCCAGCTCAGCAAGCATAAAAGCAGCATGGAGGTTTGCAAGTTAACTGGACAAACTGACATAGCATCCCGCTCACAGACAGGTGTGGACACGTACTCACCCAAAAGACCCCACCTCATGGGAGGGCTCCCATTCCGTTTTCCCTATTTAACCCCTTAACGACCTAGGACGGTTCAGGGCCGTCATCAGCATTTTTGCGTTGCCGACCGCTGACGGTCCTGAACCGTCCTAACAGTCAGATGTACTTACCTGATTGCCGTCGTTCTCTACGTCATACTAAGTGTATCTTTATATTAATATGTACTTATATTAATATAAAAATACACTTATAATTAAATTACACAAGTGTGTGTATGTATATATGTGTGTGTGTGTGTGTGTATGTATATATATGTGTGTGTGTGTGTGTGTGTGTGTGTGTGTGTGTGTGTAACGGATCACCTGGCACCCCGACTGGGTACCTCCGTGGAAGGATGCTCCTATCACTTCCTGAGGGCTCCAAGCACCCTAGCCAACACCATAACCACCATAGACTCTTTCCAAGAGCAAGACAGGAATAAGCTCTTAAAAGAGCTTAGAAGTGATTATCCAAGGGAGCATGCAGAGTATAGCAATTACCCAATGAGAGACAGGACTCTAGATTGAGGGTGAAGAAGAACTGACTAAAAATGTATTTTCCTTAGGACAAGCCCATATGGTCATTTCATTAAAGGGACACAGTAGTCACTATAAGCATTTCATCTCTTTGAACTGGTTATAGTGCCTGGAGTGTCCTGGCACTGTCCCTCCATTCAGTGTTGCACCATGTTCGTGCAGTATGCCACAAAATAAGAGTCCCTGGCCACCCACAGTCCGGCCCCTTCAGTATGTGTAGCTAAGGCAGAGATTACACACTTCCTTGTTGTCATACCCATTCATACGTCAGTTGGAACTCTGACAGGCTAAAAGCAGTCAGCTGACACTCTCAGCCAATCACAGCTGCCCATTGCTGCTCAGGCTAATACTTCCTTATTAGCCAAAGCAGCACAGAGGGGATGGATTGCCAGGGACTCTTGTTTAGCATTAAAAGTTTAAAGCTGAAAGAAATGATGGTACCAGAGGACTCCAGACACTATAACCAGTTTAATGAGATGAAGCAGATACAGTGCCTACGGTGTCCCTTTAACATTGCTATGAAAACTCAATAAAATTACAAACAGTCAAATCATAGCAGGCAACATACAGTGACTTATTATAACACAATGGCATGTTTTTAAAGAGGTGGGGGAGACAATTAACAGAAAATATCTCACGTGCCTGCAGAATTAGCAATATGCAAATCTACCTGAATATGCAAATGAACCAGTCTTGCTATTCAGGTAGTGCATATTGCTGTTGCTACCAACAGAGGGCACTAGACAAGTTCCATAGCCAAATCCACCTAGTTGGTAGCAAACCTCAGCAGTACAGGAGAGCAGGCAATACATCCCAGGGGCCATAGTCACATGGCAGGAGGCTGGCAATCAGTCTTCTCCAATGTCCAGTGGCGAGGCTGGTTCCGCCACAGCCGGGAGGAGGGTTTGGCGTGTCCTCCACTCCCAGAACCCTGAAATCCATGTGGCATCTGGTGAGTGAGCGCAGCGCACCAGCCTCTCCTGGTGTGCCATGACATAATTTCCCCTCTAGGGCGCAGACTCCTGATGTGCCCAAAGGTAGACTTGGAAGGGTAAAACTTATAGGAAATTCCTACCAAGGTAGAGGTGTATACCCTGGCAGTGGGTACAGCCGAGCATATTTTAGTTAGCAAATGCTTTAGGGAACAAATCAATTGGGTGATCCTGGACACATCTAGGAAGTTCCACCCTAGTTTCTTTACTATACAAATCTCTTCATGTTTCAGAAACGTATGATAGAACGACCTCCTAATTCTGTTGCAGTGGCGGATCCAGGGGGGGGCAATGGGGCAATTGCCCCCCCTGAGAAATCCGACAGTCTCCATCTCCCCTGCCAGCACATGCAGGTGCTAGCCCTGCAATGTGCCTGCGGACCGGAGGTGAGATCAGAGATCTCCCTCCCCGATCCGCAGGCACCCTGCTGACAGCCGGCAGGGGGGATGGAGTGAGAGAGAGGACCCGGGAGCTCAGCCTGCAGCTCCTCCGGGTCCTCCTCTAGTGAGATTTGGAGCGTTGCCGCAGTTACCATGGCAATGCTCCAAATCTCGCAAGAGTGAACTCTAGCCCGGGAGCGCGGGCTAGAGTTCACTCTCCACACTGGACCACCAGGGATTCCCACTGGGACCACCAGGGATCGAAATATGTCCCCCCTCCTCCTCAATAAAGGTAAGAAGGGAGGGGGGACATAGAATATTTATTTTAATTAAATAAATACCTATATTATAAAAAAAAAAAGCCCCCCTACCCTTATCACACACTCTATACACATACACCCCCCATAGACACATACTGCCCCCCCATACACACACACACTGCCCCCCATACACACACTGCCACACACACTGTACACACACTGCCCCCATACACACACACACACTGCCCCATACACACACACACCTGCCCCCATACACACACACTGCCCCCCCCATACACACTGTCAGGGTATTTATACCGGCAGACATCTTGTGCTATGATAGAAATTAAAAGTGTATATGCTGAGTCACTTTTGAACAGAGCAGACTCCATTTTGTTATTTTCAAGTTAACAAAGAGACACGAAATTTCTATCCTATCTGTAAAACTAACCACTTTCCCAGAGCTAAAGGAATGCATAGTATATGCAAACCAAGTGATAAGGAGAACGGGGGTTGGACAGACTGTCTAAATGCTAATGGAATAGATGCATTCTAAACCCAGACATTTGTGACAGAGGAGATTAAATAATAAAATTTTACTTTCTATATGTACAAGACCCCATTGTAAGTTTAAGGTGAAACATAGTTCATGAACTGCCATTTTAGAAATTATAGCAGGAATTGCGGACACTAAGTCTGGACAAAACTAAGAGAAAACCCTTTGAAGTGAAAGGAAACGTAAGTTATGGCCACTATAAAGATAACGCAAAATGACATCAAAATAGCCACCAAGAAAAGTTAACTCTTTCCTGGATAGGTATGTTTAGTGGGACAAGACTGCCCTCTATAGATCAAATAACTAAATTGCGATCTGGAAGATAACCACACCTCTAGTGCTTCTATTGGGTTATCAACTGATGACGTACAGAGAGTCTGGCCCTTTAAAAGTTAGGACAAAGGGTAGACGAGAAAAGAAGGGGGGTATGCAAAGAAAGCAAAGAAGTGAGCAGTCGGAAGCAATGCAGAGAGGCCTATGACAGATATCCACTCTAGGACACTCAGAAATACCTACACACCTCCATGCAGAGAGACATCCAAATAAGTTCCTGAGACTATCTACCAATCGGATGAAAATATCTACTCAACTGGTAATTATACTGGTTTCATTTAATTAATTAAATTAATTAAAATGTACTATAGCATGATATATGACTGGATAAATCATGGTCAGATTTCCATATTAAGAAATCTTAGTTAACTAAAGAATATATAGTTATAAACATTCCATTCTGCAGGTGGAATTAAGAATAATTATATATTAATGTGATAGTATCACATGTTAGCATACCGCTGTTTTTATCCAGGTGTACTGATTTGCTCTAAAATAAGATAAGATATCTTTTTAGGCGAATTAAAATCTGCTTATATAATATGGTAGATTCTCTTATTGGATGGTTCCAGGAAATGACTAATGAACTGGTTTAAATGTTATTTTATTTAAAATTACATAAGAATAGATCTTAATTACCTAGGAGGATCTAGCCAGCATTGAAAGGGTTATTTTAACTGTTAGCCAGGGTTTTATGGCCCTTCGCTGTGAAAAGCTTTCCTTTCAGTCTGTAAGGATAGTCATAAATCGTGTAAGTCTTGACAGAAAATGCTGTTTAGCCATTGAAACGTGTATAGCCATTCCTTTGTATTGCATACCATTTTATACTGGATATTCATTGATTATTGTCACGCATGTTACATATTATTATTAATTAATTGTTATTATAAAATAAATCTCTTTTTATAACATTGTGATTTATTTATATGAAATACTTTCCACTTAACACGATAACGATCTTTGGGATCTGAGAATTGAATTAGTGGGCAATTCTCACTGTTTACTATTATCATCCCATAAATATCCCCACAACACACATTGCCCACACTCACACATACACTGCAATACTCACACACACACACACATACTGTCCCACACATACACTGCATCCCTGACATATACTGCCGCCCTCACTCACATACTACAACCTTCACACACCCATACACACACATACTGCACCCCTTACACATTGTACCACTCACACACACCACTGCTCCTATGCCCTACTACAGCCCCATTTCCCAGCAGACCTCAGGTAAGTTGTCAAACTGTTCTTAAACGGTTTGACTACTTACTCTGGGAGGGGGTCCCAGCTCTGTTGACACCATAACCACTACACTGAGCTGTAGTGGTTATTGTGTCTGGATTATTTCTTTAAATAATCTACAAGTGCCCCTCCCGAGATCAGGCTCTGGATCCGCCACTGTCCTGTTGCACATTAATTTGAGGACTGACATTAGGGGTACTTAAGGAGTCTCTATTGTTTAGACAATTCTTCTGGCAATGGTCAGATGAAAAGGACACAGTAGCAGATTCCCATTTGATTACTGGGTTATGCAGGTGAAGCCATGGTAATCCAAGGATCATAGGAGACAAAGGAGAGGGAGACAAATCAAAGCATAATGTTTCTGTATGTCCTTTTCCAATTGAGACTTTTAAGGCGTTAGTCTCTTTTCCACAAGACCAGACTTTGCAATACTGCCATCAGTCATTTTAAAATGCAGAAATGTAACCTTGTAAGCTTGGGTATAGACAAGGTATTAGCCAAAGCAATATCAAGTACACACCCACTAGCGCCAGGGTCCACCATAGCGGATAATCCAATCCTCTGATCTCCTGATTGTAGGAGAAGGGGCAGGATCAGATGTGGTGTGTCTGGCTTGGGTGCAGAATAGCTTTGAGAAGCCAGGATGAGGTTTCCTTATCTGGTTGCTGGCTTTTCAGGTAGAGGGACTTGTGGTTCAGGAGAAAGTTGTTCATCGTCAGAAACTGGAGCCAGGTGTGAAGGATAGGAGGGTGGTGCCATCAACTGTGACTGTAATTGCATTTGTCCAGTTTGCAGATCTTTAACAGTTTGACCCAGGAACTTTACTTGAAGGATCAGCGTTTTCAAAGCTTCTGCAATCCATGTGAGCTCCATGATTGGCTTAGTTGTTATGTCACAGGTGTGGGTTGAATGGGCTCGGTATGCAGAGATTTTATAAAGACACAGACACTGAATTAAAAGATTTTATATAAATAAATAGAATGCAAAAGTCCCAGTGCAAGTATTAATGGTAAATAAAGCAATTCCTTCACAAGAAATAAAAGTCTTTAAGGATAAATAAAGTATTTTACCAGAGTTCCAGCACTTTACAAATGAAGAAAGGCTTGATTGAAGTTGTAGTAGAATTGTAGGAGATAAACCAAAGCTGGGACAGTTTGCAGGGGTTAACCTAGGTTGAAACAGAGTTGCAGGGGTTACCCATGGTTGAAACAGCGTTGCAGGGATTAAAGGGACAATATGATCACCAGAACGACAATAGCTTACTGTAGTTGTTCTGTTGAGTATAATCATAAGCCTTCAGGCATTTAATGCAAACACTGCCTTTTTAGGCAGGATTTGGCTCTGTACTCCAGAGGAACAACAAAAAACTGAGCAAAGACTCTAGGGGGGTCTGTGTTTAAATAGGCAAAAGGGAATGGGAGCCCTTGTAGCGGTTACCCCGTGTAGCAGAGGGGTTTCAACCGCTGGAGGGTATCCTTTTCCCGATCAGTGAGGAGGATTCTCAGCATCCAGTTGTGATCCAAGTGAAGAAGCTTTTACAAGAGCTAGTGTGAATAGCTGTATAGCGGTTACCCCCAATAAGAGACAGGACTCTAGATTGAGGGTGAAGTAGAACAGATTTT